ACGGGATAAGAGAGCTGGATGGCTCCACTAAAGCTGCTAAAGATAGCTGATTAGCTGCTGGACACTGTAATTGTATAAACACGTGGTCAATCGCCATAGCAACTATCTAAACCGTTTCCATGGAAATTCTTATTAGCATTCGCGAAAATTAGTCGTCCTACGGCATAATCCTCTTTGTAATGATTGTTTACTGTTTACTTCTCACTCTTTTTATAATATTCAGGAGAGCCTGATTAGTGACGTCAGAGATTATACGCTACGTATCCGCAAATATTCAAAGAACGTACTCTATGGTAGTGTTTTACTACACTCATTAGCACAGGTCATGTAGTGGCATCAAAGCAAGTTCATGTATCAAAAGAGTGGGGAGTAAACAGTAAGGCCTAGAGGAATCCACAAAAACGTACCTTTAATTTTTTTATTTCAACAAATGTCAATGTGAACATAATTATTTCAGTTAATATTTCAGCAGGTATGCAATTCTACATGCCTCTTGCCTATTATACTAATAATAATGAATGAAAATTTTAATACAAATAACCCAATAAAGAAAGTCCTCATTTAAAATGTTTAACAGTGTTAAATTAGCCTAGACTATAACCAAGAGCACATGTACTCTTGCTATAACTAATTAATAATAAGTCCTACCACACTCAAAAAAATCAAAGTTACTCATTTGACGTAAATCTCATAAAAGCTAACAGGAGTATCTTCATCATCTGTCTCCTGATCACCACAGACCCTCAACTCAATATAGTCAGTAGTGGTAGCTGTATAGTTCCTGTGGAACCAAGGGAGACCAGGAGCTGAACAGCAAGCTGTTTCAAGAGTACCACAACCTTGACCATCCCATAATGGATTAGCTGTATAGAAAATTCGACTGGGGGTAGTTCCAGCTCCTGATTCACAGAAATAATTGTTTTTGATGAAATCTTGAATGAAAGAGCTTTGCGTACTTCCTGGTGAACATGGACAGTTGTACCGTCCATCATAAGCTATACTTGATCCTTGGACTCCTCCCATTAGTGTCCAGACATGTTGACGAGGAGACCCACGAGTGATACTAACTCCATCAACATAAGCTTTATTGATGTTATTATGTTTGGGATCAGTTCCTCCAACATAACGTTGTGGATTTTGCCACAGACCATGTTGAACTGCATCAGGTGTAGCATACTGATATCCCACTACTCTACCACACACTTGAGAGTAACTGATACCATTAGATGGGAACTGAACTGACTGGCAACTAGCATCAGCATTATATGCTCTACCACAAGCTCTAACTCCTCCTGACTGGTACAGTCTAAACCCGGAAGGACATATTTCCTTAGAGTCAGTCATATCCAGATATGCTAGTCTTGTCCATCCTCCTCCTGAACCACAGAGCTCTCCCATATGACAATAGACATGTTTTATGCTACTGCCTTTGTCTGCCAATGCGTACACACCAGAAGGACTGGTCGGTTCTTTGTTTCTTAATTCTTGACACGAAGTAGGAAGAGAAGTAGAAGAGTTGTGCAGTGCTATAAGGTCTTCCATTAGCTCCAGTAGTTCTCTGATGGCTCTAGTATTCGAGGCAGCTATGTTTTTTATTTCAGAGACTGAATCAATTAAATCGTTCATTTTCTGATTAGTTGCTTTGATACCTTTAGCATTTCTCCTTAACAATTTCTCTGCAAATGACCTTGAGGTACTTTCATTGCTTGAATGGCAATATGTTACATTGCTGTCAATGCACGTAGATATTGCTGCAGTGCAAGTACTGCTAGCAGCATCATATGTGACAGCAATATTGGTACCACTTATAGAAGGGTAGAGGGAGACTAGGATCAGTAGTAGATAAGACAGCATCTTGTCAGAACTCCTATACATATACATGTAGGCAGTCAGTAACTGATAGACCTGTCTCTTTTATAAGGTGCTTATAGTTAACAACTGAACTGTTTTGACCAAATTATGATAAAGTTGAATGAGTTTTACCAGGAGCCCATGAAAGAAGAAGGGGAGGGTAACCCTCCCCTTCTTCTTTCATGGGTGGTTTTATCATAGCCTAGCTATTGTATGTAAAACAAATTTGTACAATTGACCGTAATGATAGCTTAATGATAAAGATAACTTTCTCAGAGAGATGAATTACACAGTAGACTCCAATACAATCATGTACTACTGTATATACTGTCTCATATATACATGTGTAGATGTTATGTTAGATTTTATGATTAAATATTGGTGTAATAAAATTTAATTAATTTCTTATTATTTATTAACTTGCCAGTTATTAAGCTCAATGCTTTATTTTAAACTGTGTCCGAGTTATTACCTACTTATTTTTATCTCATTCTCTGTTGTTTATTGAATGGTATTTCGAAAAAAAAATAATGATACATGCTGCTAGTATTGCTATTAAACTAGTGGACTGCTTGAATGAATTAAAGGTAAGATACTCATAATTATCATGCCAAAATTCAAAATTGAAAATTTTAACACAAACTAATAAAAAAAGTCCTTGTTTAAATTGTTTAACAATATTAAATAGCCTAGGCTATAATAACTAAGTAATAATAAGTCCTACCACACTCAAAAAAATCAAAGTTACTCATTTGACGTAAATCTCATAAAAGCTAACAGGAGTATCTTCATCATCTGTCTCCTGATCACCACAGACCCTCAACTCAATATAGTCAGTAGTGGTGGTTGTATAGTTCCTGTGGAACCAAGGGAGACCAGGAGCTGAACAGCAAGCTGTTTCAATAGTACCACAACCTTGACCATCCCATAATGGATCAGCTGTATAGAGAGTCCGAGTGAAGGAGTTTCCAGCTCCTGATTCACAGAAATAATTGTTTTTGACAAAATCTTGAACAAAAGAGCTTTGTGTGCTTCCTGGTGAACATGGACAGTTGTATCGTCCATCCCAAAGTATTCTTGATCCTAAGAGCCCTCCCATTAGTGTCCAGACATGTTGACGAGGAGACCCACGAGTAATACTAACACCATCAACATAAGCTTTATCGATGTTATTATGTTTGGGATCAGTTCCTCCAACATAATGTTGTGGATTTTGCCATAGACCATGTTGAACTGCATCAGGTGAATTATATTGATATCCCACTACTCTACCACACACTTGAGAGTAACTGATACCATTGGATGGAAACTGAACTGACTGGCAACTAGCATCAGCATTATATGCTCTACCACAAGCTCTAACTCCTCCTGACTGGTACAGCTTAAACCCAGAAGGACAGTTCTCTGTAGCATCAGTCATATCCAGATATGCTAGTCTTGTCCATCCTCCTCCTGAACTACACAGTTCCTCCATATGACAATAGACATATCTTAAATTTATGTTACTGCCATTGGTTGCCAATGCGTACACACCAGAAGGACTGTTTGGCTCCTTGTTCTTTATTTCCTGACATGAAGTAGGAATAGGAGAAGAAGTAGAAGAGTTGTGCAGTGCTATAAGGTCTTCCATTTGCTCCAGTAGTTCTCTGATGGCTCTAGTATTCGAGGTAGCTGTGTTTTTTATTTCAGAAACTGAACCGATTAAATCGCTCATTTTCTGATTTGTTGCTTTGATACCTTTAGCATTTCTCTTTAACAATTTCTCTGCAAATGACGTTGAGGTACTTTCATTGCTTGAATGGCAGTATGTAACATTGCTGTCAATGCACGTAGATATTGCTGCAGTGCAAGTACTGCTAGCAGCATCATATGTGACAGCGATATTGGTACCACTTATGGAAGGATAGAGGGAGACTAGGATCAGTAGTAGGTAAGACAGCATCTTGTTGAAACTACTAAGTATATGTACCCAGTAACTGTTGGATCTGTCTCTTTTATAACAAAATGTAGGTTGTTTGAGAGTTAGTTGAACTGTTTTGACAAACTTGGTATGATAAATAGAGTTCTGAACTGTTTATATGAACTTAGTATGATTAAGTATAGAGTTCTATAGCAACCTTGACCTGACTATTCTATGATGAAGATTTAGCATTTGATTGTAAGGATAGTCTTTAATAATAAAGATAACCTTTCTCAAAGGATGAATAAGTTGAGGACTTGACCTTTCTCAAGGAAATAAAAAAGTCTACACAACGATGCACTTTATACTACATTGTATTTCAGTATAGCTGGCTTATTTCATCTGGAATTAATTTTTTCAGGTTCAAATCTACATGTACTAATTCCACAAAATACAATGTATTGACGAAAATTCTGTAAACCACGAAAATGAATTAATTCCAATAAGAACCCTAAAACAAAATTTGAGACTACGAAATAAATCAGCAGACAGTGTTTGTTGTTATTTTGATGATGATTGTTATTTTCCATAGGTTAATGGGATAATAAAGATATCAATGTCACTCCTCAAACTGCTATGCACTACCTACTGTCATCAACAGCTCCTCTCCTCTTCTCAATACTCTGTCTCTCAGCATAAAGACAAGACCACACTAGAGAATATGGAGAAGAAATGTGTGTGGAGAGCATTAATGAAAGGACTTCATTTCTCAGAGTCTGATAAAGAAACAGGATTACAGATTATAGATACTAAACTAGGTATCTGTGTAGAGGAGGAGACACAGGGAGAGGTGGAGAGAGGGCACAGGAAAACTTTAATGAGAGCTATTGAAAAGGAATTTGAGGAAAGGCATTTACAAATGAAACCAGAAATCACGGAGAAAGTAATAATAATAATAATAATAATAATAATAATAATAATAATATTGATATTTTTAAAATCCAGTTTTAATTGTGTTTACTGAATTTACTGTTGTATAAAAGTAGCAAAAAATTTAAAATTATAAAAATTATGAAATAATTATTAAAATTATGAAATTCCAAAGGTCAAATCTGAAATGCTTAAATTAGAACTACTTTTTGGTGGCATGCAATTGTATGTGTACTGACAAATTTTTGAATTACATGTATATGTATGACTTTGGCCTAAAATTTTTTTTAATTTGGTGACTATGCTTCTATTCATAGTATATCAACATTCATTAATTCACAGAATATTATGGTAACTTTTTCATTTTAGATTATGGAATTGGATGGTGCATTAGAATCAAGGAGATGTGTTATTATTTATGGTCCTAGTTCATCAGGAAAGAGTACTCTTTACCAGTTGCTATCACAAGCACATAATCACCTACTGAGTAACAATGGGACTGTCAATGAGGAAGGAAAAAAAGGAGGGAAAGGAGGAAAAAAGAAAATGATTTATGTGACTCACATTAACCCTGAAGCATATACTTTGACTGAGGTGTGTACATGTACATACATGTATATGTATAATACATTATAAAAATAATTAAAGCAAAGAATTGTTGGTGGATATTAACAGCACATACATGTACATGTACACGTATATGCTATGTACATTCAAACACTATATGTATGCAGTACTGTATGTCATACATGTACCTAAAGGTAGGTTTATAATATGCTACATGTGTGTAGCCCTGACATTACATTGATGCTGGAATTAAATTATAGGTTCAATGTACTCTAGCTTAATGCATGAATTTGCCCATGCTTTTGCCTAGCATCATAATTATTGTAAATCTGGCCTAATACAGTTTTGATACTCTTTTATTGTTATTATTATTATTATTATTAGCTTTTTGGCGGGTATTTGTCATCAAGTGAGACTGCTACAGGAAGCAAATATACTGATGAGTCCTCATGGTCTACTGGTATTCTAGCAAGACTGTTTCAACAAGCAGAGGATTCCAACAACAGGACAATAGAGCTGAAGGATAGAGAGAGAGGAAGAGGAGGAGGAGGAAAGAAAGGGACCTCATTGTCCATTACCCACTGGATTGTGTTTAACGGCTTTAACTGGAATCATATTCACTGGCTGGAGAGTTTGTTGACTCATCCACACAAACTGAAATTATCCAATGGAGACACACTCAGTCTACCAGGTACTGATAATAAATGTATTATTATATTAATGGCAGGGTGTTAAATAACAGTCTCCATGGCTGCAAAAATATGCCATTTCTTGTCCTGAACACCAGTATTTTATTTCATGCCTTGAATGGTGATCAAAGATGCACACTTCATTTTTCAGTTATAATTAGTGTATTGCAAACTATTGAGCACAAAAACATTTATGGTTAGTATTAACGATTACAGCTTTTAAATAACAAAAATAATAATGTACTATAAAAACAATAAGCATTTTAATAGATAACAAGTCGGTTATTACTATAATCACAAACATACAAGAATCCATTTTTATCAAATGTTAATCCATCTGGATGATTAAATTGTTCAATATTTCTGCCTTTACTTCCAAACCTATTAACAAACACGCCATCACTAGTGAAAACTGAGATACGATTATCCTCTTCTTCACTAACATACACTAAATCTCTAGCACCAGTGCCTATTGTTATACCTCTCGGCTCTTTAAGCTGCCCAAGACCAAACCTTTTATTTCCAAACTGACCCACAAACTTTCCATCTGGAGAGAACTTCTGAATGTGATCAGTATGCATGTCCGTAACATACACTAATCCTTGACTGTCAATAGCAATGTTGCGTGGTGATTTAAACTGTCCATTAGCTGATCCATAGCTACCAAATGAACGAGAGAAGGTTAGATCAGGATTTAAGACTTGTATACGATGATTATTCACATCAGCAATATAAACCTGTCCTGTTGTAGGAGAAATGGCTATACCAGAAGGAGTACTAAATTGTAGTGGTCCACTGCCCTTCTTACCAACTGATGCTATAAGGTATCCATCCATGCTTATTTTCTGGACCCTGTCACTATCAGACACAAGAATAAATTTGTCTGGAGTAATGGCTACACCACGAGGATTAAAAAACTTGACATTACCACTTCCTCCTTTTCCTCCTAATAATTTTTTTCCTTCTTTATCAAGTATTGTTACATAATACTCAGTTATTATAACATGATTATCATCACTCACAGCAACTCCTGAGGGATGGTTAAGCTCAGTTATAGCACGTATTGGAGTGATGTTATCAAGGTAAGGATTGAAAGGGAAGGCAAGTGAGGTATCCTCAAGTTGTACATTATATGCTTGTACTTTTACTGTGTGAGTGCCAGTGGTTGAAGGGTTACACTGTATCCTATACACTCCAGGATCAGTACTGGTGGTAGTGACTGCAGTGTGAACGGGTTGATCACCTTTACCAACTGGTACTAGACTACACTTCAGAGAAGAGAGGGGAACAGACAAAAGAGATGAATCTGGTCCCTCTATTGATAGTGAAAATGAAACTTTTTTTTCTTTTGGAAGGTGTTCAAAGCAACCAACTTTCTTCACTTTACACTGCTGTAGTGCCGTAGATGAATAGGTCACAATGTCTCCAATGTGATGAAGTGATTTGATATCTTTAATCAATACAAAGTCAGCCTTTTCCTTTGGATGTAACTTCTCGAAGTTGATTTGTGCAAAGACTTCTCTCATACGCTCCATCATCTGCTTCTTAGACCTCAGGACTTGTTGAGGACTGCCTGTCTTCAGACTCTGTTTCACATAATTCTCAACATCCTCTAGAAGACCCAAATTCATTTCTGCTGATTTGACCTGCTCTGACAGCACCTTTAGTTTAGCATCAGTGACCCTCTTTGCCTGCTCAGTCAGTTTCCTCTCTGACTGACGAAGAACATTCATCATTTCCCCTACCATTTCATGTATTTCTTCTAAGACTCCTTCTCCTCTCTCTCTGATCTCACCCTCTCTCTCTGTTAGAGCGCACAGGATATTCTGAAGTTTTTCCTTCTTTCCCTCAATTGGTGATAGACAATCTCTTAAGTTTTGACAGTGTTTGGTAAATCTTTCAGCAATTAGGTCATATTGATGGCCTTTGTGATTACGAATTGAGCAGTTAACACAGATTACTGTATTACATGTTTCACAGAATAGCTCCAAAGATTTTCCATGATCACTACATGTTGCCTCTTGAGGATTTGATAAATCTGCTGTCTTTTTCATTAGACTTTGCATCTCTTTGAGGTTGTTAAGGTGAAATGCTACAGGAAAGGCTCCTGCTCCTTCTTTTGGTACCTCTGTATGATGACGACAAGTGGGACAAGAGAGGTAATAGGTCTCACTCTTCTTATCCAGTGGTAATCGCTCCAGACAGTGCTGACAGAATGAGTGATGGCAGGGTAGGATCTTAGGGTTAGTATAGTGGGTGAGACACACAGGACAGGTGAGCTGTTCCTCCAGTTTGAGGAGACCAGGAGATGATGACGGTAGTTGGTCTTCCATTTGAAAATAGAGTAAAATTATGTATGCAAAAGATGTAAATGAGATAAAGCAAAGAAAAATGATAAAAAATGAAGAAGTCCAAACAAAAACAGAGTAGAATAGACAGGAAACAAGAGGAGAGGAATAGGAGGCAGCGAGTTATACTGATGAGAAAAACAAGACCAATGAAAAGGAGGAGGAGAGAAAGACTATAGGGGATTAGGGGTACTGTGAGTTTAGATTAGGTATACCTCAAAAGTATATTCAAAGGTCTTGTGACTAAAAGAAATTATGATAGTGGTCTACTGTCTTTTGGCTTCACTGCAGGGAGATAACTATAAATAATTTTTTTCAAGCCACAAAATTTTTGAATAGCAGCAATTCAGTACCATATAAAATGTTGAGATAAAACATATGTACCTTAATTGAAAGTCATGTTATTTATAATCTTTCCAATGGACCTTATGCAACAAACGGTTTAATGCGTACCTCTTAATTGAAGTAAGATGGTGGATTTTTTGGTGAACAGGCAGGCTGAACATTTTCCTCATTATTATTATTATTATTATTATTATAGCTTAACAACACACAA